TTTTAAATTTATTATTTTGTGCTTTTGTAATACTTTTATGTTTATTATTATAATATAGTATTTAAATTATATAAAATTGGGTTACTCATTATATCATATAATAACTGTCATTAATATATGGTAAATTGTACATTTATATTGTTTTTTTTTCGAAGTATATAACTCCAACGAAGAGTCTTTAATGTAATTTGATTATAAATGTGATACATACTATTAAGTAAAATTTTGTTTTAATTATGATTTTTATATAAAATATTTATTTATATTTAGTAACCTGTACATGTGCACAAGATTTATACTAGTTATGATGTGAATTACTTTGAAATTCAAAAGAGTAATGCTATAAAGCCCACTTGGGTTACAACTCAAGTGTAAATGTGTTGAGAGTAGATGACAATATGACATACAAATTAAAAACGAGAAAAGTAAACAACACAAGATTTACGTGGTTCGGCAATGTGCCTACGTCCACGGCGGTTGAGGGATTTTTATTATTCTCAATAGTCTCAAATACATCAATACACCATGTATTTATACTAAAACCCTACAAGGTATAAATTTACTTAAATACCCTGTACAGTACCGCGGGACTCTGCCCCCGCACCCCGGCCCAACTAATCGACCCAGCCCAACAAGGGCTGATGCCTGCTCGTTCCACTCCACTCACTTCGCTCGGTCGCTCGCAGGCATCAGCCTGCCCTCTTCCTTTGTCAATATATGAGCCATACCAACAAATCTCCACCTTGGCGAATATATCACCTCCTTAGGAGAACACAATAGCGAGCACCTCCGCGAGTCATACCAAGCAGGCCGGGGGTACAATGCAACTCTAGCATGCAGAAACATTCAACAAATCCAAGCAATGCTTGAATTTGTCAGAAGTAACAGTCTTAGTCAACATATCATCAGCATTCTCTTCAGTATGAACTTTCTCCAACTGAATATCACCAGAAGCAATCCATTCCCTAATCTTGTGGAATCTCACCAGAAGCAATCCATTCCCTTGTAGATAGAGCAACTATAGGCTGAGTATTCGACCTCCAACAAATAGGCCCTCCACCAAAAGTGAAGACATACCCAGTGGTAGATCTCCTATTATCCAAGTCCCCAGCATAATCAGAATCCACAAATCCTACAACCAAAGGATCCAACCGCTGATCTCCAAACTCAATACCATGTCCCGCAGTACCTTTCAAATATCTGAAAATCTATTTGACTGCCTCCCAATGCTGTTTACCCGGCCTAGACATATACTTGCAAACTTGACCAACAGCATGAGTTAAATCAGGACGAGTACATACCATGACATACATCAGACATCCAACAACACTGGCATAAGGTATCTCCACCATATCCTGAGTCTCCTTGTCCGACTTGGGACACTGATCAACAGAAAGCTTGAAGTGGTTTGCTAATGGAGTGCTCACCGGTTTTGCTTCATTCATCCCAAATCTCTGTTGCACCTTCTCCACATAACCCTTCTGAGATAACTACAGCTTCTTTGATCCTCTATCCCTGTGAATCTCCATCCCAAGAATCTTCTTCGCAGCCCCCAAATCCTTCATCTCAAATTCCTGACTCAAAAGGCTTATCAGATCAACAATATCACGCATATTCTTGGCAACAATAAGCATGTCATCAACATAAAGTAACAGAAAAATCATAGAACCATCACCAAGGCTCTTAGTGTAAACACAACAATCAAACTCACAACGCTTGTAGCCAATCTTCACCATATACGAATCAAACCGTATATTCCACTGCTGCGATGCTTGCTTCAAGCCATACAAAGATTTCTTCAACCTGGAAAATAAATGCTTCTTCCCTGGTTGAACGAAGCCCTCTGGCTGCTGCATGTAAATAGGCTCTGCGAGGTCATCATGCAAGAAAGCAGTCTTCACATCCATCTGCTCCAAATGCAAATCCCAACTAGCCACCAATGCAAGTGTAACACCCCGCTAGCCTACTAAAATCAGAGTGCGATTTTCGCAAATTCTTTTCTACGTTTACTTTTTAGTTTGCGAAATATATCTCGGAATGCTACACCAAAATATTTCTTTTCTAAGAATCCGATAACTTTATAAATTTTCTTGAATCACTTACGAACAACGGATTATCTTTTATAAAACAAGCGTGTGGTACTATATAAAACCTGACCGAAAGCTCGGATCATCGTCTGAAAATTTACACGCTAGTTTGGAAGTCTGAAAACGTCAGCGGAAGTAAAATGTGGCAAATATATACATATCAACAGTCTGCAAAAATATATACATATCTACATGTACTGGACCAGCGACCACCAGCTCTACTCACTCCTCTGGACCGACCCTGTCATCTGAAAAGATCATAATAGTGGGAGCGTGAGTACTAAAAACACTGTACTCCGCAGAAACTCATACTAAAGTAAACATTAATAATAATATCAATATCATGACTGCAGGTATATATAAGTAAACTGTAATCTGTAATCTCCAGACACGAGGTATGTACTGAACTGGCCATGTGCACACTCTGATGGGCAATTAAGGCTACTGCGCCTTCACCAGAACTCTGGATGGGCAATTAAGGCTACCGCGCCTCCACCCAAAGTGGAATAACTGATATACATATCTTAAAACATGATAGAGCAATTATATCCAATGTAATACCCAGTCTGAGTTCCCACCTGTACTGATAATGTAAGTGCTGCTGCTGATCACTCTGTACTGATAATGTAAGTGCTGCTGCTGATCACTCTGAACTGCTAGTCTAAAAGTGTAAGTGTTGCTGCTGGTCAATCTGTACTGATAATGTAAGTGCTGCTGCTGATCACTCTGAACTGTTAGTCTGAAAGTGTAAGTGCTGCTGCTGGTCAATCTGAACTGCTAGTCTGAAAGTGTAAGTGCTGCTGCTGGTCAATCTCTTCAACTCTCGATGATTTGCACACAGTCTCGCACGATCCCTCGTCTCCGTGGGTGCGTGCGTACATGTATGCTTAATATATCTTAATCTTACTTAATATTTGCTTAACATATAGCCTAGGTAATCAGCCCTAGTTTCACTCCAAATTCTGGTTATATATAGATGATAAACGTGGGTGAGATTGGATGAAAAGGCTCGGCTAATGGCCGAGGGCCACTTGCTAGCATCGTGAGCTTCCGTGGCAGTTGTTCGGCTTAGTCAACACTCGAGGTGGCGCTCCAGGATGTGCCGAGTCATTCGCTAGAGCTCTCGTCGTGCCATGTGTGCCAAGCTATTAGGTTGTACTTATCTCACGACAATAACTCTCGGCATTAGGAAGCTAAGCGTGAGTTATGGACTAACTAAGCATACTTGGTACTAACTAAGCACAATTACCCTTAAGCATGATTAAGCTTAAACTAATCATCATTAATGTTAATTAATCATCATTAACATTAAGCTAATCATGATTATCTTTAAGCTAATTATGATTAATGAGCTTAAACATGAATTAAGTTAATTAAGCAAGGGTTAATGACGATTGCTAAGCATAAACTAATGATGGACGGTGTACCAAGTGTGAACGCGTCGTTGTATAGAAACAACGACGTTCATATATGGTAACCTTAACCGAACATACTCGTTTTCGGTTATAACTTGACCTTGGAACTTAATTAGAATATTATCTTGACTTGATCTCATTAATCCCAGATTCGTTTATTACATAAACGAATTGGATGTAAATCTAAAACTCATTCGGTTACTGAAATAATTAAACCGAATATTAAGTTGACTAAAAGTCGAACTTAAAACTGGAACTCAATAACTGGCTCGAAACTTATCTTTGACGATTTATCGAATATTCTCAAATTCGATTAATACGTCAATACTGAATTAATTAATCCCGACTTACTATGTCCATTTATAAACATTAAAGGACTGAGATTAATTACCAGACTTAACTCAGTTAATATATAAAATTAACCGGATATACTTCCGACTTAACGTCGAACTTGGAACTAACTAGCTGAAAACTTAAACTTAAACATTTACATAAATATTTATTAACAAAGGCTAGCTTATATTTAAAAGCTAGTATTTTCCTTTATTAATAAAATTCGGGGCATAACAACTCACCCTCCTTAAAATATTTCTGTCCTCGGAAATACTAAAACTGAAATGTACAAGCTTAACATGAAGCTTATACTTATTGCTGACATGAATTGAGAATTCAGTATTGAATACTGAACATTAGACTTGATCTTAACTGAGAAATCAACAATTCACAATTAAGTGAGTTGATGATTAATATTGACTGAAACAGGACACTTTTATAAGATAAAGTGTTCCATTTATTATACTTTAACATTAAAACATAATTCTTAGGCGTACTGGTCTTCATCTCCTGACTGACTGTTGATCTTTGGTCTGAACGTCGGTTGTAGTAACTCCCAGTCGTTAGTACTCCTAGAAAATTTCAGAGATATGCACATGTACAAATGAGGGTAACTAGCAATCCTCGCAACTACCTTTCGTGAATGTCTACTCGATACGCGACACATCGTTCGCGGCACATTGTAATGCGGCATGCCTGCTCCTCATCAAGTGAGTGCGGCACACCTGCCTACAGCACCTGGCGAACATTGTACCTGCGACGTCGACGTAGTCTGTATGGCTGATCATATCTGTATCTCAGCTAGTAACCTCAATGTACTATAATACTAACTCTCTGTGACTTCCCAGTGTACTGTGACTCAACATGGTATGGCATCCTTCTCTTCTGGCGTCATGCATACTTGAATGGAAAGCTCGGTTGTCATCATGGCATGATCTGTTGCTGTTAATTGATCTTCTCCGCCGTGTCGTATATCGACATGTTGTACCTGCAACTGTCTACTTTCCCTGAGGTCAAATATAACCTCAAGAAAAGTTTATCATGGACTGATCTTTCCTACGAATTCTCAAATTATCTGCATTTGAGAATCGAGGCACTGGACATACTTGGAATGACTGATAAGTCTTGTCTTATTAGACAGACCATCCTCGACTTTAACATGACTAGCATGAGCATTCACATAACTGAATAATCAGGACTTAACTTTTACATGACTGAATCATTCTATCTGAACTCTGAAAACTATTCCGAGACAACTAATTGGTCACCTCGGAATTTGGAACATGACATGTACTAACTTACTTGACTTTCTGTGGCTTGATAAGGAACGACTTCAAGTTTCCAGGTAAATTTGGACTAATGGTCTGTATATCAGACCTCCATATTTAACCCGACTTGGTAACTATTATACGCCGACCTTAACTCATGAACATTAACTTCTAACTATGTACTATATAGGGCTGTTCCAGTATCAACTGGTTCCGCAAGTACTGAGTAAATAGCTGATTTTGAGCTTTGACAGCTATAACTGGGAGTATCTAACTGGTAAGATACCTGACTTAGCAGACTCTAAAGGTCGTCACTTTCTGAAACTATAGTGCTCCGGTCCCAGCTTCAAGTCTCCATGGTATACCCGGCTTAATGGCTCTTATTTCAAGCCTCCATGGTAACCCGGACTTTTGGCTCTTATACACTGGAAACCGTTACTTGACAATAACTGGAAAAAGTATAACAACCTTTAACATGAAATTTTACCTTGAACATGATTTACTGATTTGACTTACGAAATCTGAGTCTATTCCCTGACCTTGGTCAAAGAATTTCTTGCTGGAATATGCCAACTGAATGGCAGAATGGCAATTTCTGATAGAAAATATTTGAGAAACATGTCTGATAAGATTTGAACTACTTAATAGCTCACAAATCTCTTGACGAATCGCTAAAATTAACCCGAGAAACTAGAGTCAAAATATCATATAACTGGGATAATCGACTATATTCTTAGGAAACTTTATCATTGACTCGAGCATCTTACTGGTTTCTAGGGTCATATGTCTGGTACCTTCTACTGAGCATAGACTTAAGCATTCGTTTAAATATATATAAACTGTAACTCAGCACTTACCTGTTAGTCGGCGAGGCATGAGCGTGGCGTGGTCGGGTTTTCTGAAAATTTCTGACTTAAAAAGTATTCAGATACACAAAAATGTGCTCTGATACCAATTTGTAACACCCCGCTAGCCTACTAAAATCAGAGTGCGATTTTCGCAAATTCTTTTCTACGTTTACTTTTTAGTTTGCGAAATATATCTCGGAATGCTACACCAAAATATTTCTTTTCTAAGAATCCGATAACTTTATAAATTTTCTTGAATCACTTACGAAAAATGGATTATCTTTTATAAAACAAGCGTGTGGTACTATATAAAACCTGACCGAAAGCTCGGATCGTCGTCTAAAAATTTACACGCTAGTTTGGAAGTCTGAAAACGTCAGCGGAAGTAAAATGTGGCAAATATATACATATCAACAGTCTGCAAAAATATATACATATCTACATGTACTGGACCGACGACCACCAGCTCCACTCACTCCTCCGGACCGACCCTGTCATCTGAAAAGATCATAATAGTGGGAGCGTGAGTACTAAAAAAAAATGTACTCCGCAGAAACTCATACTAAAGTAAACATTAATAATAATATCAATATCATGACTGCAGGTATATATAAGTAAACTGTAATCTGTAATCTCCAGACACGAGGTCTGTACTGAACTGGCCATGTGCACACTCTGATGGGCAATTAAGGCTACTGCGCCTCCACCAGAACTCTGGATGGGCAATTAAGGCTACTGCGCCTCCACCCAAAGTGGAATAACTGATATACATACCTTAAAACATGATAGAGCAATTATAACCAATGTAATACCCAGTCTGAGTTCCCACCTGTACTGATAATGTAAGTGCTGCTGCTGATCACTCTGTACTGATAATGTAAGTGCTGCTGATCACTCTGAACTGCTAGTCTAAAAGTGTAAGTGCTGCTGCTGGTCAATCTGTACTGATAATGTAAGTGCTGTTGCTGATCACTCTGAACTGCTAGTCTGAAAGTGTAAGTGCTGCTGCTGTTCAATCTGAACTTCTAGTTTGAAAGTGTAAGTGCTGCTGCTGGTCAATCTCTTCAAACTCTCGATGATTTGCACACAGTCTCGCACGATCCCTCGTCTCCATGTGTGCGTGCGTACATGTATGCTTAATATATCTTAATCTTACTTAATATTTGCTTAACATATAGCCTAGGTAATCAACCCTAGTTTGACTCCAAATTCTGGTTATATATAGATGATAAACGTGGGTGAGATTGGGATGAAAAGGCTCGGCTAATGGCCGAGCGCCACTTGCTAGCATCGTGAGCTTCCGTGGCAGTTGTTCGGCTTAGTCAGCACTCGAGGTGGCGCTCCAGGATGTGCCGAGTCATTCGCTAGAGCTCTCGTCGTGCCATGTGTGCCAAGCTATTAGGTTGTACTTATCTCACGACAATAACTCTCGGCATTAGGAAGCTAAGCGTGAGTTATGGACTAACTAAGCATACTTGGTACTAACTAAGCACAATTACGCTTAAGCATGATTAAGCTTAAACTAATCATCATTAATGTTAATTAATCATCATTAACATTAAGCTAATCATGATTATCTTTAAGCTCATTATAATTAATTAGCTTAAACATGGATTAAGTTAATTAAGCAAGGGTTGATGACGATTGCTTAAGGATAAACTAATGATGGAAGGTGTATCAAGTGTGAACGCGTCGTTGTATAGAAACGACGACGTTCATATATGGTAACCTTAACCGAACATACTCGTTTTCGGTTATAACTTGACCTCGGAACTTAATTAGAATATTATCTTGACTTAATCTCATTAATCCCAAATTCGTTTATTACATAAACGAATTGTATGTAAATCTAAAACTCATTCGGTTACTGAAATAATTAAACCGAATATTAAGTTGACTAAAAGTTGAACTTAAAACTGGAACTCAATAACTGGCTCGAAACTTATCTTTGACGATTTATCGAATATTCTCAAATTCGATTAATACGTCAATACTGAATTAATTAATCCCGACTTACTATGTCCATTTATAAACATAAATGGACTGAGATTAATTACTAGACTTAACTCAGTTAATAAATAAAATTAACCGGATATACTTTCGACTTAACGTCGAACTTGGAACTAACTAGCTGAAAACTTAAACTTAAACATTTACATGAATATTTATTAACAAAGGCTAGCTTATATTTAAAAGCTAGTATTTTCCTTTATTAATAAAATTCGGGGCATAACAGCAAGTACAGCCCTGATCGAAGTATGTCTAACCACATGAGAAAATGTCTCATCATAGTCAATCCCCTTTTGCTGTGAGTATCCTTTAGCCACCAATCGAGCCTTGAACCTTTCCCCTCCCTTTTCTGTTACTGATGACTTCCTTGTGTAAATCCACCTACAACCAATAGCTTTCTTCCCTTCGGGAAGAACATCCAACTCCCATGTCTAATTCTTGTGTACAAAATTCATCTCTTCTTCCATGGCAGCCTTCCATCTATCATTATTCTCACAAGAAACAACCTCCTGGAAAGTACAAGGATCCACACTAGTGATTGTAAGAGCAAATGCGACCATATCCTCATAACCAAACCTGACCGGAGCTTGTATATTGGTACGCCTCACTCTATCCCGAGCTAACTTGTAGCTCTCTGGCACATCAGTTGGGCAGAAACATCATGATCAACATCATCAGGTGCAGAACTCGAACTTTTCCCCTTATCAAGAACTACTGGCACATGTTCCAACTCCACTTGTACCTTATCTGCATCTGATCCCAACATAGACTGTTCATCAAACACTGCATCTCTACTAATCACCGTCTTCTTCTCAACTGGATCCCAAAACTTGTACCCCTTCACACCTTTCTTATAGCCCAGAAAAGTGCACTTCTTTGATTTAGCATCAAGTTTTGACCTCTCATCAGCAGGAATATGAACATAAGCAGGACAACCAAAAATCTTCAAATGATCAAAACTAACATCATTACCTGTCCATACTTCTTCTGCAACTTTGCCATCCAGAGATGCACGTGGTGATCTGTTAATTAAATAACAAGCCATACTTACAGCCTCAGCCCAGAAACTCTTTGGCAAACCCGCATTCAGTCTTAAACACCTCGCCCTCTCAGCCAGTGTCCAATTCATCCTCTCAGAAACACCATTCTGCTGTGGTGTTTTACGCACTGTAAAATGCTTTTGAATCTCATGCTCCTCACAAAACTTCTGGAACTGTGAATCGGTGTACTCTGTACCATTATCAGACCTTAAGTACTTGATTTTCTTACCAGTCTGGTTCTCCACCTCAGCCTTCCATAACTTGAATTTAGCAAAAACTTCAGATTTATGCTTCATGAAATACACTCAAAATTTCTTCGAAAAATCATCAATAAAGGTCACATAGTACATAGAACCACCAATCGATGTCACTCTAGTAGGACCCCACACATCTGAATGTACATAATCCAAAATTCCTTTTGTCTTCTTCTTCCCAGTCTTGAAACTGACTTTTGTCTGCTTTCCCAAAACACAAAACTTGCAGAAATTGAGTTTGCAAGTTTTAACACCATGCAGAAGCCCCCTCTTATGCAGTTCAGTCATGCCATGTTCACTAAGATGTCCAAGACGCATGTGCCACAATTTCGTGCTATCTTCACACGACTCCACCGAATGGACTCCACCTACAACTGTACTTCCCAACAGTTTGTAAATGTTCCCTGCAGTGATCCTCCCCTTCATCACAGTCAAGGCACCCTTCACAATCTTAATGGTTTCCCTATCCTCATCAGCCTTGGGAATGAAACCATTTCTATACAAAGTACCCAAAGAAATCAAATCTTCTTCAACTCAGGGATATGTCTCACATCACATAATGTCATAACAGTTCCATCATACATCCTGATTTTGACATCTCCAATGCCGACAATGCCGCAGCATCTATCATCACCAAGAAAAACAGAACCCGAGTTGCCTGATTTATAAGTAGCAAACCACTCTCTGTTAGGCGTTATATGATATGAACATCCAGAATCGAGAATCCAAGCATCATCATACTGCGCAGTCGAAATAGATAACATATCTCCATCACTGCAATTAGATTCCTCATTTTGTACCACATTCGCGGACTTAGATGACATATCAGCAGTCTGTTTCTTCAATTTTGGACTATCCCGTTTGAAGTGCCCTTGTTCCTTGCACTTATAACACGTCACAGTTTTCCTCCCTTTCGATTTGTCTCGCGACTTGGATATAAAATTCCGATTTCCTGAATTATCCCGCACCTGTCTTCTTCCACGATCCTGGTTACCCTTCACATATAAGCTGTCACTTTGAGAAGACGACTCTCCAGATTTCTGTTTCTGCTGGTTGTGAGCCAACAACGCTGAAGTAATCTCCTCAGTCTTGATCGTTTCTTTCCCATATGTAAGGGTAGTCACCATATGTTCGTAAGAAGGAGGTAACGAACACAGTAAAATCATCGCCTTGTCTTCATCTTCAATCTTGACTTTGAGTGAAGCCAAATCCGTGACAACCTGATTGAAGATATTCACATGTTGCCCTAAATCGGTCCCCTCCTGCTATTTCAGCCCGTATAACCTCTGCTTTAGATACAGTTTTGTCGTTAGGATTTTCGACATAAATTGTGATTCCAGTTTCTTCCAGATCTCATCCGCCGATTTGAGATGCATAACGTGATACATAACTTCATCTGCAAGGCACAGCCGAATCGTCGCGGCTGCCCGTTCCTGCAGATCTTGCCAATCATAGTCTTCCATCCTTTTAGGCTTCTCTGCACGCAACCCTTTTTGAATTCCTTGCTGCGCCAATAAATCTTTTACTCTCGTCTGCCATAATCAGAAATTGCCATGACCATCAAATTTCGAGACCTCGAATTTCGATCCTCCCGTCATCTCCGTCGCCCAATCAACCAGGCTCTGGTACCACTTGTTGAGAGTAGATGACAATATGGCATACGAATTAAAAACGATAAAAGTAAACAACACAAGATTTACGTGGTTCGACAATGTGCCTACGTCCACGGCGGCTGAGGGATTTTTATTATTCTCAATAGTCTCATGTCATGCTATTTCGCGCTATATAGAGCGCGAAAATGCGCTTTTTAAAACACGTGTATTGGTAAAAAACAATTGGGTGGAATTAGAGATTATGAACAAGCTCACTTGTGAACTCAACCAATAAGCTGAGATTGACTTGTTATAATTTTTTTTTTTCCAAACGATACAATATCTCAATATCAATAAGCCAAAAAATTTAAGGTTCAAATACATTAGAACAACTTAAAAGTCGAAGACTAAAGCTATAGAGCACTACCACATTAGGTAGGCTAAACATAACAACACAA